CCCAGTACCTCCCCCAATAATGGTCATTTAAAGCAGGATCTATTCAGTGCAAAATGCTAAAACATAGGTAGGACTTCAGTGGACCCCCCAAACTACCCCACTTATCTAATCATGGAATGATTATTCAATAATGCCTATACTATCTGTACATCTCCTATACCATCAGGGCCTTAGGTTCAATCCTCAGCACCAAAAAAAAAAACCAAACAAACAAATTTTCCTACGAACAGGAACACACACAAAAACTTCAAAGGGAATTAAAAACCAGTGACTTTATCCTTACTCAATCTTATTCCACCAAACTTTAAACTAAAGCTACCAGAAAAAAAAAGCTTTCTATCTAAACTTAAGTCTAATTCTCATCACCAACCTTGTTTCAATGAGGTAAGCAGTATATGTTTCTTGCATGTTCATGGCATTTCTTCCAGTTCGCTTTTCAGCCTCTGAAACACTGATTTCTATCTTCTTTAATCCAAAATTATTTTCTGTCATCTGGACAAAATGGAACAACAAAAAAACTTTAAGATGTTATTGAAAAGCCCACAGCTAATTTAATAAAACTCATCATTGGGGGCTGGGGATACAGCTCAGTTGGTCGAGTGCTCACCTGGCATGCGCAAGGCCCTGGGTTCAATCCCCAGCACCACAAAACAAACAAACAAAACAAAAAAATCATTGGTATATATTTCTAGATAATTTGTTATATTCCTTAAGTTGTTAGGGATTGCTAAATGACAGCATCAAATGACAAGTACTTTTTATCAACATATTACATTAACTTTTTCAGAGGTATCTAAACGGATACCATACATTTATTAAAATTCAGACATTTCCTTTAAGTGGCCAAAAATAAGTCTATATACAGAAGTGTAAGAAAACATCTTAGGAGCTGGGGAGGTGGCTCAAGCGGTAGYGCGATCGCCTGGCATGCATGTGGCCCGGGTTTGATCCTCAGCACCACATACAAACAAAGATGTTGTGTCCGCTGAAAACTAAAAAATAAATATTAAAAAAATTATCTCTCTCTCTTTTAAAAAAAAAAAAGAAAAAAGAAAACATCTTAAAGACACATATACCGAAGATTCTAGGAAGACAGTAGAGCTGGAAACACCAGGAATCTATCTTCCCATCTAGACAACATATACACTGGAAGACTGTGATATAAATATTTGGGAACTCTGGAGTCTGAAGATAGCTTACAACTTCCAGAGGAAGGCTTGGATAACAAAGTATAGTTAATTAAGATCAATTTCAGGTCTGTGCACATTGGTAGTTACCCATTCCACACCCTAGCCCTGTGGAAGACARCTGTGCAGTGTTACCTAGAGTGGCTTGCATACAGCTTACAGGAGTCAAGGTGGGCAAAAACACATCATGTCCTCTACTGTTGGTTGCCTCTTCTAATTAGACAGGCACAAAAAGGTGGTGGCCACTGTTATTGAACATTCTCATACTGTTACAAGCCTCCCTCTGGCTTAAGTGACTCTTGTGGGGGACCCTTTATTTCTCCCYTCCATTTTTCTCTCTCTTAAAAGCTAAATATTTGCTAAGAGCCACAGCCAAGTAATAAGATGCATGGCATTTTTGGTTGAAAGGTRACGCCAACAAGCCATTGAGATGATATGATTATGTTAAGATCTGCATTCATATGGATATTGGACTCCTGCTGTCCACCTAGGCCTGCTAGGGACTCCTGGAGAGTTCCCATTGGTTGGGGAAGTGCGGTAGGAGGGAATTCCGGAGGAGGGACTTCCTGTTGGGGTCCGGGAGAACGCTGCGTGGGTTGGTAGGCAATCTTCCTGGGAGTGTAAGGGCATTGGCGGCAGTTTCAAAA